CCAGTGCCTGCACTGACCTGTCCTGTGGGTTTAATTTCTCCTCTCAGCCCACAGATGCAACTCATCACAGAGCTGTGGCAGCTGGCAAGGACTGAGTCAGCCCTGCATCACCCTCCAAGGTTGCTGGTGTTTTGGAGCCCAATGCCAGCTACTCTGGCCCCCAGCTCAGGAGAGGAGATTCCTCATTCCTAATGCCAGCGTCAGAAGCTGGGCTCCCCACTGGCAGAGGAGCACAGCTTTGAAGCTGAGAGCAGGGCACAGGATGACTTCCTATCCAGTTAGAAACAAAAAGACTGAATAACCACAGGGAAAAAATAAAAATATTCAGAATGAGCTATCCTGTGTTCCCAGAAACAAGGCAGCAAGTCTTTCACAGAAACTTTCTTGTTTTCCATAGGAAGGTAGAAGCTCTGGTTTGGATTCAAGCCAAGGTAGCTATGGAGAACTGAAGCTTCTACCTCATCAAGCCAGGGAGCAGCATTGCTCCACCAGCTGAAAGGTTTCCATGTTATTTTCCAGTGCTGGGTGATGAATCCCCAGTGGGCATGGCAGGATTGTTTGCAACCACAACAAGTGACAGCACGCAGCTTTGGCAAAGTGAATCATCTTCCCAGGGTGACTCATCTCCATCTATTTCCACTCAGGCAGTGGTGGCCCTGTGGCATGATGGCATGAGCCATCCCCAGGGAACCATAGGCAGGGGAGAACACCAGGGCAGGGAGTGGCCCATGAACCTGGCACAGCCCCACAGCCCACCCATGGGACCTGCTGTTGAGGAACACCTCACCATGCCTCAAGCACCTTAATCACATACAGCTGCCAAAATTCACCTCTCAGGGCAGGGGTAAGATCTCAGCTCACTCCCATTTGCAAACAGCAGCTCTCAGTGAGCAGAGAGGTAAGTAAAGGCTCTGGGCACCACTCAGGGCAGCAGCTCTGTCACTCTTTGGTGGTTTCATTACACAACCTGGCACAAACACAGGAGCAAATGCTCCCTACTTGTCTATTAACACCTTTCAATAATACTTGCTTACGCTTGCTCAAAATCAATGCATATTACACACTTTTTAATTAAGTCTTTAACAGCTACCAGTAAGGGTGTACTTACTGTCACAAAACCCTCCCTATTTGGTGGCTGCAGTATCTTTATGGTGGGGTAACTTCAAAGCCTTGTCTGAGTGTCCTGCGTCAAAGCCTTCACTTGGGATTATCTCCTGCTCTCCTGCATCTCAGCTAAGTGGCCTTGTTCAAGAAACTGAAAACATGATGAGGCATTTTTCCTTGAACTGCTTTAGCTGGCAGGCTTTCCCACTCTAAACCACTACCTGAACAAGACCAACATATTAAGTTCAAAAAGAAAATCCTATCAGAGTCCTCTACTGGCAAAGACATCGTGCTCTGACAGTGATTTATTAAGTAGACCATGTACCTTCCGGAATTATAAATATAGATTAAGTATCAAAGATCCTATTGATTCAAACACCTGTATCTTGCATACCATGTATTTTTACCCTCAATTATACTGAATTCCTAGAGGGTCAGGCCAGGACACTTATTGTCATCAGACTGGTTCAGAAGTCACTTTCCGTATCACCATATTCGGTCTTCAGCCCAACCGTGAACTTTAGCAGCACCAAATGACTCCAGGACTTTGCTACTTATTAACCTGAAGTTCCAGGAGACCACGATAAAGTGCTTTGCTTGATAGTTGTGATGAGGTCACCGAGAGCCCGAAGGTCATTCCATTTGCCCCAAAGAACCTACTTTTATGGTGGTTTTGGTTACTCCAGGGCTGGCCCTTCCTCCTTCTTCCATAGGCCTCCCCTTGCTGCAGCAGATGTTGACAGAGCTGCAATTTGGGTAAAAATGATAAAATTTAGAACACACACAACTCCTTAAAGCCTGGCACAGGAGAAGGGGAGCATGTGGACCCCTTGTCAGGGGAAGGGAGCTGGGGTGGCATCTGGGGAGCACAGACCTGGAAGTGCTGGTCCCAGCAGCACCATCTGCCCAAGTTGCTGGTGCATCCCCAGAGCTGCTTGCCCCCTTCTTTAGGGGACAGGCCTATGGGGGTACTGGAGGGGGCAGCTGGGACACAGCCCAGGGCTCAGGCAGGCTGGGCCAGCCTCTGAGG